AAAAAAAAAAAAAAAAAAAAAAAAAAAAAAAAAGTTCTGGACTCAGCAAGGAAACTCCGGGATCTGTTGGGAGAGACAGATTTTATGCATTTCACCCTTCAATACTCTAGGTGCTAGTTGGGGCAATATGAAAAATTGACTACTCTTTTAACTGGACCCTTTCATGGGACTGAGTCTGCAGTGAGCATTTCTGAGGGACGAGGCAATTCCTTTTCAGGACAAAGTGAAAGTCTGCTCTGTTCATGGTAAAAAGTAAGGACTCTCACTTTGATAGGCTGGGGCAGGAAGATCACAAGCCGGAGCTCAGCCTAGTGCCTGGCAACTTAAGGATTTAGTAAGACCCTTTCTCAGAAATGTCTGGGGATGTAGCTCAGTACAAGAGGCCTAGGTTTAATCCTCAGTATTGGAAAAAGAAAAACACTCTGAATGTTTCAAGCTCAGCAGTCATTCGTTACAATGAAAACTCCCTGCATGTGTAGCCATACTGTGGATGCCATATTGTGTTGTCCCATGGAACCAGGGACAAGGGCAACCAAGAGGGACGATGACAACATGCTGATACTCATACTCTTTGTTGTGCTATGAATAACAGTGCTTTGTGTCTGTCCCAGAATTTCTGAGTTTTCTGCTAGCATCCACGAAAAAGTAACAGATTAACTCACTAGCTGGAAGTAGGCATAAAATAAAAATCTCAGTCCTGACAGGATGTACTTAAAATCATGTATCTATCTTAAGTTATAATTATTAGGTTTGATGGAAATTAAAAATTCTTTTTATTAATATAAAAATGTTGATATTTTTTTCTATAGTGGCAATACTGTACATACACTTGTATGAAATGCTAGCATGCAAAAATGTGCACATAATGTATTTATTTCCCAAGAGTTTTTTTTCTTTTCTTTTTTTTGGTTTTTTGAAACAGGGTCTCACTATGTAGTTGAAACTGACCTGGAACTCACTATGTAGCAAAGGCTGGTCTCCAACTCACAGCGATCCTCCTGCCTCAGCCTCCCGAGTGCTGGGATTACAGGCGTTCGTCACCACGCCTGGCCCAGGAGTATTTCTAAGAGTAAGATTTTGAAAGTAGAAACAAAGTGAACATAAGAATTTTATGGGACTATATTCAAGAGCCAACAGATTTTGCAGGGATGGTTTCTCTACTATACAACACAAACACACACACACACACACACACACACACACACACACATATATAATTTTTTTTTTCCAGGACAGAAGGAAACATTATATAAAGTATAAAAGTAGATAAAATGGCACAAATACAACATATTTTGGTTGGAATTTCAGAGATACTTTTTTCTCTTTTCTTTCCCCTTTACTTCAAAAGTTATAAATACTTTTGAAGCAGCATGTATCGTTGTACTTCTGATTTTTTGCTGTACAGTTAGGGAATCTGAGAGTTTGGATGCCTGGTGATCCTCTATTTGGCCTTCCCATTCTTTAGTTTCTTCTTCTTTGATGAGTAAAGGTTTTCCTAGGGTTTGGCCAACAAGGTTACAGACTTCTTGAGCTTTGCGCCACGCATTCTCAACAGCCACAAGACAGGCTTGCCGTCTTAGGAATTAAATGCAGATTATTAATATGACATTCAGCAAAGAGCAGCATTGAATAGTTTTGTTTAAGGAATTAGTAATTTACTCAAAGAGGTGCTTAACTTACCGAACATTTTCAACGGAACCTGCAGTATGAAAGAACTGGGGTGGGCTGATGCTAACAGAGCTATCTAGTTTTTCAACAAGAAAGTTACAAACGTTTTGCATTTTTCCAAAGTCAGTAAATGTAACGCAGACCTGTAAATGAAATGACACGTGGTATTATTTTCACATCTGATGTATTGTTTCAAAAATTGTCTCTAAATGTGAGTAAAAAAGTAAAGCCAGGTTATAAGGCCCTTTTATAGGAAGTAGCTGTAAGAAAAGCATATTTGATACTTAGAACTAAATTATTTTGCTATTAAAGTTAGACCTTTGCTTATAAATTTTGAAATTTATAGAATAGTGACTTGAATATTTTAAAATTAATTTTAAACCATCTTAAAATTTATTCATTTTTAATTTTCATGAAATTGGCAGAGTTCCCCTTCAGCTTTACTGTTAGAGTAGATTCTAAAATAACTTCTTCATGACTTCTGAGACTAATCTTTGCCATCAGATTCCGGACTAGTAGTGCTTATGTCATAACTCACCGCTATCACTAAGCTGTATTTCTTCTAATAGTTTCTCTGGATCTCTATGCAGAAGCTTGTCTATTTTACTATGTTCTCTGGCTTTAAATATGAGGAAGCAATATTGCAATACTGTAGCTTTTAAAACTTTTTATGGAAGGTGTCTCAACCTTTTCTTCCGAAGAGTGCTTACACAAGCTCAATAATGCAAAATAAAAAAGTACAGGTAGCAGTACTAGAGTAGCAGTGGAGGTGAGGTGACCTCAGCTTACACAATGGAAAACAGTGACTTTAATTGTAAATGTTACCCACTAAGTACACTTATCCTCCCCTTGGTTTCAAAACTAAGTATTGGGCATAACAATAGGGACAGGAAGCACATTCAGCTCAACTCAAATTGAAAAATATTCAAAGACTCCAAAGCATGCAATTTTCTCTTTCGGTGAATTAGTCTTTACTTTCTATTTATCTATCAGTCTTCTATCAAGGATTAGTTTCTTAACGTACAGCCCGTTCTGTCTCTATTTCATTAGCACCATTTCTCTGTTACTCTCCTACCTGTTTTTATATGCGTTATTCCGAGGATGCTTACAAAGTGACCACGGGTCTCCTTATCCTCTCTCACAGTGCTCGTTCACACTGCCTGCATTTCACTCCCACCGGCCTCCTATTCCTCCTATTCCTGGCTCTTCTGGCTCCGAGACACTATTTTCAGGGTATTCCTTTCACTAGGCTTCTCTTGATTTTGTTTCCATTTCATCTTTCTGTCCTTTACCCTTGAGCATGCAATATTTGGATTTCTATTAATTTTATGAACATCTTCCACTATCAGTTTATTATTAAGCTTTTAAAACTCATAATAAAAAATTTCAAACATATACAAAATAGAGCCAACAATATAAGGAACTCTCAGACACCCATCATCTGGTTTCAGCAACAGTCGCCTCATGACACGTTTTACTTATTTTTACTTTATGTACAGTATGCTACACATATTCTACCGGTTGTGGTGTAAAGTTCTGTTCTTGGTGACAGATGCTGTACAGTCTTAGAGTTACATTAGCAAATACTTAGACCTTCCCCGAATCCTCTCGAGCCCTTTGTTACCAGTTCCTTCCTTAATTCCCAAGTCCAGGCAACCACTCATGTATTGTCCATTGTTAACAGACTGGCCCTTTCCAGAGTGTCACATAAACAGAAGCATGCACATGCAGCCTATTAAGACGCGCCTGCTTAATATGGCATAATGCATGTGAGTCATCAATGTCCTAGCATCACAGTCTGTTCATTTCACATTAAGCAGCATTCTTTTCTTTTCTTTTTTGGTCCCAGGGATCGAACTTGGGTCCTTGTGCTTGTGAGGCAGGCAGCGGAACCACTGAGCTAAATCCCTGGCCCAAGCAGTATTCTGATATAATCAGTTTGTTTGAAAAACATTTGGAGTTGCTTTCAGTTTGGGACTATTATAAATAAGGATGTTGCTTTTTCAAAATAGTTCTAGATCGTTTGTATTTCCAAGCAGATTTCAGAATCAATCTGTCAATCTCTCTCTCTTTTCTTTTTAATTTAGCAGGATTTTGTTTAGGACCATAATGAATCTATATATAAAAATCACTTTAACGAGGACTGATATCTTAATAATTTTGAATGTTCCAAATCATAAACAAGAAAGTCTTATTTACTAAAGTCTTCTTTAATCTCTCTCAGCAATGTTTTATAGTTTTCAGCACAGTTTCATATCTAATTTATTTCTAGACATTTAAACATTTTGATGCTTATTAGTTCTACATGCTTTTTTTAATAGGTTCTATTAGGTTTTCTATATGGTCATAGTGTCCCTGAATAAAGACAGTTTTCCCCCTTTTTTCTCAGTCTCTATGCCTTTCTTTATCTCTTCTTGCCCAATTGTGCTCGCTAGAATCTCAAATGCAATGCTATATAAAAGTCCCAAGAGGAGCTCTTTTTGACTGGTACCTAGCTTAGTCACAAGGTATTTCATCATTAAATATGATGCTAGCTGTCTCACTATATAGTTCAGGTTGGCCTTGAATATACTATGTAGCCCAGGGTGGGATCCTCCTGCCTCAGCCTCCTGCCTGGCTTACTTTTATTTCTTGGTTTAGGATTGGTTGAACTTTTTGAATCTGTGGTTTTGTAAGTCTCATCAAGTTTGGAAATATTTTGCTCCTTATTTCTCCAAATATTTTCTTTGTCCCCTACTCTCCCCTCCAGTGGTACTTTAATTAAATTTGTATTAGGTCATCTGAAACTGTTCTATAGCCCATTCATTCCTTTTCATGCCTATTCTTACTGTGCTTTATTTCTGATAGCTCTTATTGCTATGTTTTCAAATTCTCTGAAATGCCTAATTTGCTGTTAATCATATTAAGTGTATTTTTTCTTTCACACATTGCAGTTTTCATCTCTGGAAATTTAAAACTTCCTACATACTCCCTGTCTCTATTAAACATCTGAGTATCTGAAATACAGTTCCAATAACTTTTAATGATCTTGTTTGTGAATTCTAACATCTATGTCAGATCAGGAGTGGTTTGAATTTATTTTTCTGCAACTATAAGCTTTACATATTTCTTTTCCATTTTGCAAGCTAGAAATATATATCAAATCTATTGGGAAAAATTTTATGGCAGTAAATGTAAAATCTCAACTGTTCATTTTGAAAAATGCATTAACAAAGAATAAGACGGGAGAAACATGACTTTAAAGCAGCATGAAAAGACCCCTCCTCTGATTGTAATTGCCGACCATAGTTATAATCTGAATAGAAGGACAGTGTGATAAAAATGCCAAAAAGCTAATTCAGACTTATATTTGTTATTAGGAAGAATATTCCAGAGTAATGTTTGACAATCTTTCTTTAACATGGACTCGTCAAATTATAAATAGAATACTACTGTTTGTTTAGGAGGAAATTGGCTAAGGGAAGAGTTTGTCATTTAAGAAACAGTCGAAAAAGCTGAGGGTTCTCACCCCTGTAGAAGAAAAATGGTAGCATCAATATGACAGTGAACTTCAAGTCTATACTTCAGGGAAGAAGTCTTACTTGTTTCTTTTTGGAGAGGTATACTAATAATGGACAGATACCAGTGACTCATTGTTGGAATGACACTAGAAAATTGTTTATGGGATGTCTGAAAAGGGAATGGGCCTTATATATTTATGCCTATCTATGCATAAAACCTTGCATAATAAAAATGGAGAGTTGAAAAAAAGACTGGATGAGATAAAGTATGGATGAAAAATACCTAACACATGGCAGAAATGCAAGAAAAAGTGAAAAAGAGGAGGAAAAAAACTGCATGAGTGCTACACTATTTGCTCTATTTAATACATATTACCGAATACCTATTAAATCTTAGGCTTTAAAAATCTTGTAATGCTGAGATTATGACTAGAAAGAACACAAGAAGTAGCAAGTGTACCAATATAGGAATTGCAAAACTATGGCTTAATTCATCTCCTCTTCCCACGCACAACTTATCTTTAAAAGAATCATTTAGAAACGTTCTAACCACCAGTATTTCTCTTTAAGAGAAAACAGCAGGGTGAACAAGATAAAAGAATCTTTATCTAAGATTGGGTTTTCATAACCCACAAAAGTTGCCGTAGTTAGCCTGTATGTAAAGTTTGGTAAGTTGGGACATGGACATAATGCCTGATACGTGATCAAAGCAATGCACGTTTCTCACTTCCAAAGCTTCTTTATGTCGTCTGCTTTTGTGTGTGTGGTAAGAACGCTTATAAGATCTAGCCTCTTACATTTTAAGGTGCACAACACCACACTAGCTTCAAGTACTAAGTTGTACAGCAGATATCTAGAACTCGTTCATGTGGTAACTTTACACCCACTGAACAACCACCTCTGCTTCTTCTCTCTCCTACCCTTCCACACTCCTTGGCAACCACTGTCCTATTTTCTGCTTCTATAACTTTGATTATCTCAGATACATCATGTAAGCAGCACAGTGCAGTATTTATCCTTCTTTCACTGACTTGATTTACTTAGCATAATGTCTTCCAGGCACATCCGGATGGTAGCATATGACAGGATTTCCCTCTTTTTAAAGGATCAGCAATGTTCTCTTGTATGTAAGTAACACATTTTCTTTATTGATTTCTCTGTTGAGGACATCTGGGTTGTTTCTGTATCTTGGTTATTGTGAGTAATCCTATAATGATCATGAGAGCACAGCAGTCCCTTCATCTGTGGTTTTGCTTTCTGTGACTTCAGTTACCTGTAGTCAATTGTGGTTCAAAAATATAAAATGGAAAACTTAAGCAATACACAGTTCCTAAGTTTTCAACCGTATACCATATGGAGTAGTATGATGAAATCTTAAACCATTCCACTCCATCTTACCCAGGACATGAAGCATTTCTTCATCCACAATATCCATGCTGTATACATCAGCCAACTGCCAGTCATCTGGTGGCTGCCTTGGTTTTTGAGTTGGCTGGTATGGCACAGCAGTGCTTATGTTCAATTAACCCTTCTTTTACTTAATAATGGCCTTAAAGGGAAAGAGTAGTAATGCAAAAGGCATAAGCCATGTGGTGATTGATTAATTCTGGTATTGTGTAGCAATGCTGCACAATGTGGGGAAAACATAGTACAGACAGGGTTTGGTACCGTGTGCAGTTTCAGGCATGCACCAGAAATCTTGGGTTGTATCTTCAGCAGACAATGTGGGGGTCACAGACATCTATTCCAGATCTTAGGATCATTTCTCTTGAATATATACCCCAAAGGGAATCTGTGGATCATATGGTGGTTAGACATTTATTTTATTAAGGAAACCCCATATGGTTTTCTGCAGCGGTAATACCACTTACACTGTCACCAAGAGTACACAAGGTGCAAACTTCTCCATATCCTTACCACCAGTATCTTTGCTTTTTCCGCAGTAGCCATTCTAACAGGTATGAGGTCAGGGTTCATTGTGATTTTCTATTTTTCTGATAATTAGCGATGTTGAGCATTTTTTCATACAGCCGTTGACCTGTTGATCATCTGTATATTTGTATGTCTTGTTTTGATACATGTTTATCCAAGCCTTTTGCCTTTTTTTTTTTTTTTTTTTTTTTTAGTAGAACTGGGGATTGAATCCAACGCTTTTGCCCTGGGCTATAGCCCCAGTCTATTTTCAAAAATGTTTTATCTTGACAGTGCCTCATAAGTTGCTAAGTTGCCCAGGGTGGGCTGGAACTTCTGATCCTCCTTCCTTAATCTCCCAGAGTGCTGGCATTACAGGCAAGCACCACTATGGCCCATTTGAGAATCAAGGATTCTGCTTGTTTGTTTGTTTGTTCTTTGGTTTCTTTGAGACAGGGTCTCACTATGTAGTTGAGACTGACCTGGAACTCACTATGTAGCCCAGGCTGGTCTCAAACTCACAGCAATCCTCCTGCCTCAGCCTCCTGAGTGCTGGGATTACAGGGGTGTGCCACCATGCCTAGCAAGGCTTTGCTTCTTAATTACAGAAATCCACCTACCATCTAATCTTAGTCCATACATTTAACAGTCCATGAGCATAGTAGTACATGCTAGATATTAGTGTGTGCTACATCGATAGCATAAAGCTACATGTTGTTCTTTATGCACGGGTTGGCGTACTTTGTACCTGGCGATTCCACTACCTTGGTCTCCACTGATCTAAAGCTGATTATGTATTGGAATGTGTAATATAATGTGAGTTCTGGCTGCCAGGGAACCCTATACAAAAAAATGTAATCAGATTTTCTAAAGAAATTTTAGCAGAAAACATTCAAAAGGCAACTAAAAGAGAAGGAAGAGGAGATTTTAGTTAAATTCTCAATCACATCTTAGAACACACAACTCGAATATACTCTTTCTGTACCTGGAAGTTCAGTCTTATTTTTGCGGGTATCAGGGATTGAACTCAGGACCTTGTGCTTGTGAGGCAGGCACAGCACCACTGAGCTAAATCCCCAGCCCAGAAGTTCAGTCTCTTAATGATTCAGTGGTCTGAATATTCCAGTTTCGTATGAAGTCTAGCTGTGTAATTCTGGGACTATTTCTTTGTCTTCCTTACTCCCAGGTGTATCTTCAAAATACACCTCATTAGGCCAGGGATTTAGCTCAGTGGTTCTGCCGCCTGCCTTGCAAGAGTAAGGACCCGAGTTCGATCTCCGGTAGTGGAAAAAAAAAAAAAATACACCTCATTAACAAAGATAACCTGCTCCTATCTCTGTTCATAAAATTCTGAAGCCCTAACAGATAATAACTACTGGCAATTGCTACAGCATATTCCCATATCTGCCTCTGTCATTTTGAATCTTATCTGATTGTTAGGCATTTTTCAGTCCCCACTAGTACAAAATGATTTCTGCCAAATAGATTTCAAAATCATAGTGAGCAACTGTAAATTTCCTTGAGATAGTTAAATTTTAAAGGAGAAATCACAAAGTGGCTATAGTAAGAATTAAGGCAACAAACAGAATATTGTTGAAATTAGAAGAGATAAGATACCAGTATAGTTACACTCTAATTGTACGTCTAATACCAAACGTAGGAAAAGTAAGGCATTATCTGTATGACTAAAGGACCAGGCAATTTCTTGATGTATTTTATGCCTCTAGAGACAAAGATTCCAACACTGGACAAATTAAATTTCATTCTAATCCCAGTCTTCTGTTTCCTGACACAAGGAGGCATCATGAATTAAGCACATACCCTAAAATGTTTGGACTCAGAAACAGCAATCTTATAACTAAACCAGAACTATAACGTACTCTGATTTCATAAAGTCCTGATCACCAAATCTTTAAAGGTAGGTAATAATACAGGCAGCTATAGAATTAAACATTATAATTTAAAGTACTAAAAATAGTATCCTTTTTAATTTGTGTAAAGATTAAAGATTTTTTATATTTATTTATTTATTGGTACAAGGGATCGAACTCGGGTCCTTGTGCTTGTGAGGCAGGTGGCAGAACCACTAAGCTAAATCCCTGGCCTGATTTTTTTATTTCTAAATAATAATTATTACAACACAATAAAAATGCACTGTGGAACGAAAGAATGTTAAAGTGTTTCAATCCTTTATGTTACGCTTTTATTCATCTTAATTCATATTTCTTTTTATCAAAGAGAAATATCTATCCTGTAGTATTTCTTGTTCACTAGGCAATATTATTATTAAAAATTTATTCTGGTGGTACTTAGATGCTATTTTTACCATTGTTATTTTTAATTCATTTTAAACAATTGCTTTTAAATAAGTCTCATTAAAATTATTTTAAAAGATTTGAGAAAATATAACATCAAAACTGATTTAAAAGTAATCTTTTATCAGTTCTATGAGAAGAACTTCTCTAATATATTACAGTTCAAGAATAAAACGAAATGATAAGTTGTACCTACCAAGTTATGCTGTTATCAATTATTTTGGTAAGTACATACCTCTGCTTCCATGTGATAAGCATTTTCTACTCTTCTAAAATCCTTTGTTACAATTATATTTTCTGCCTAAAAAAGAAAGAGCAAGATTATGATTACTTTAGCTCAGTGGTTCTGCTGCTTGCCTCACAAGCACAAGGACCCGAGTTTGATCAGTGGTACCAAAAAAAAAAAAAAAAAAAAAAGATGACTAAGTGGCTACTAAATACTCACTTCTAGGTATGGCACAAAGATGAAGAATTTTTTGTATATAAAGCACATTTAATGTTAGTGGGTATTTAAACAATTTTGAAATAATTTGGGGCAAGTAACTCAATTTTTTTGAGTTATAAAATCAGGTTGATATCATGTGTACTATTATGAAATTTTTAAGGATTTAATGAGAGGCTATACATTAAGTACTTGAGGAAGAGAAAGTACTTAACAAAAGTAGCTACTGTTACATAAATGTTTCTGAAACACTGCACTTTGGTTACTTTGTTTCTAGAAAAATAGTACTGATGCTTTTTGACTCTGGGTAATACAAGGTACATAATTCTGATAAAAAGTTAAATTTCTTAATTACTTTTAAATTCAGGGAAATAAACTCTAGCTACTCTCATCCTTGGGGACACTCAAAACATTTATATATTTTTTGTAGCTTTCAGAATAAATGCTAAGTAACCAAAATGATTATTATGCCAATTAATAATTTAGTAAGCCATTTTGTAAGGAAAATGGCTGCACCTAAGGTTTAAGATATAAACTAATTACATGCATTTAATGTGATCCAGAAAAATTCTAAAATGTTTTGAGTATGCGAACTCATGTTCCAATTATAGCTCTGCTGTCAGTTCTATGAAAATTTTAATGCAGTTTTATTATAAAGGTAACACCTGTTCATTGTAGAAAACTTCAGTACAGTAAGTACAGGAAGCTACATACAGTTTATAGCTCATAAGCAGCGTTTTTCACATAATATGTAATGTTTCTGTTATTTAATATTCTTTGATGACATGTAAATGCACCTTTGTTTCAGTTTTGGACATCTTTTCATATATTTCATTAAGAGATTTCTTCCAAGCACAGATCTGACTTCTGCCTCTATATTTTTGCCTTTTCCGAATGTCACAGGAATAGAATACATAAGCTTTTTTGGTCTGTTTTTGAAAAATGTATTTAGCAAGGTGCATCTAAGATTTACTCATCTTATTCTGTGAATCAATTTTTGTACATTGCTGAATAATACTTTTTCCATGCAGTTTATCTAACCATCCTGTTGAGACATGTCTTAGTTGCTTCCAGTTTCAGCAATTATGAATAAAGTTGCTATAAATAGTCTGTGTTCAGATTTTTATATGAATGCTGTTTAGTTCATACCATGTACCTTGAGTCTAAAAACTCATCTTCAAATCCAAGGTCACATAGATTTTATTTACTTTTTTCTAGAAGTTTTAGGTTTTACTGTTGGGAAAGGTGGTCTGTGCACAGTCTTTTGACCCCTATTCACTGCCTGAGAAGAGAACACGGCCCTGGCGCACTTCCTTAACAAGTAATAGTGTCGTAACAGTTTGCACTGGCTTTGCTGCTTTGCATGGGATTATCTTTACCTACCTATTTCAGACACAGTATGTATGCCTTTGTTCTGCTTAAGGGTGGGTATCACATGCTACCTGGCCAATTCCCACTGTTACAACTGTTCCTGGGGGAAGGAATAGGATCCTTTGGAAGCAGCAGGAGAGATGCATGTAGGCCAATTGTCCTGCATCAGCCACCAAGAAATCAGCTGACTGCAGTGGATTGACACCTACTAATGCTGGTGGTTTTGCTGTCTCTTCTCTGTGTTGCTAAAGGGTTGCTCTCTCCAGGTCTTTGTGTTTTCTTGTGACTCTGATAGCAAGATTCAATGGGTAAAGTGTTCAGTCTTATTCTGATAAAAAAAAGTAACAGACGCCACTTGTTCAACATTTATGTTTAGGTCTATATCTCATTTGGAAAAAATCTTTGTCAAAGGTATGTGTCATTCATTTCTTGCATATGGACATTCTACTGTTAGAAAAAAGACTGCTTAGATAAAAAATTTTTCCAATAAAAAATGCTAAAAATGAGGGTTATATTTTCACACAAGCTTATAAATCTGTGATCTATAATACAGTTGAACTATAGCTTATTTTTGTGTGCTCTTTTTTATTACAAAAATTTGGGGGGTTATACATTATGTGATGAGTGTGAACATAATCCATGAATGCAAAAAAGGACAAATGGCCTCTGCTCTGGATAGGTTGGAATATGTGGTAGAAACTAATAAATTAAGAATTGTGATATGAGGTGAAAATTTTTATTACAGGTGAGGAGTGGAGTGTTGTATGGCAGGGATTAATGTTATGTTAGGAAGGAAGGCCAAGAAAGTGACCTTGGCCTGGTTTCTAAAGTCAGCCTAAGAGGAATAAAAAAAGAGTTCAGATTATAAGGAGCCCTTTTAAACCAGGGAATGATGTTTACAAATGCTATTAACAATATTCTGAAGTTTAAAATGAATAGGGACTTTGTGAAAACCCGTAATTCACCCTGAAAAATAATATAAATATTATCAATTGAACAAATTACATGATTGCTTTTCACCATTAACATATAACTGGAAGTTTACGAGTCTTCCTTTGTCTTGAACACCAAATCTTTAATGTAATTACTAATGAAATTTACATTAATAATTAATATTAATTAAATCATTAATCAATTAAATTATTGATATGATTTAATGCAATTAAAGTGGAATTAATTTTTACATAGCGGTCAGAGATACATAAGCTCAGTTTACATTTTATGTAAATAAAGAATAAGTTACATTTTTCATACACATAGGACTGCAATAAGAGCAGAAACATTTTTACTAAATGTTTTTCTACATATTAAACCCATTTTGTTCATACTATTTGAATCATTCTAAAATGTAAACTCGGGGAAAATTTTTCCAAATGACTTTCTGAATGTTTATGTTTGTAAATGCAATACATATTTTCTTCCTAAGATAAAAACTTGCTTAAGGGGTTATGGCACTTCTAGGAATAGACAGGAAATAAAAACTTTTCACCTTTACCAACTCAAAGTTACCCTGGATAAATCACAACTCTTTAGGATCATACTTTATAAAATGATGAAATGGATATGGATGTTGAACTATTGCTTACTTTTCTAATTTTCTTTCATTCTAATTACCTAGAGTCTGACACAGATTCTGGATACAGGAACACATAAATTCAAATACTGCCGTGCTAAAAGTTTAGAGCATTAGTAGTAACCTCCTTCACTGTAGAAAATCGGTATATTAAAATATGTCTAGCTGGACTGTTGTGCAGGATAAATAAGGGCTGCCCCCCACTTTTAAAAGTAGTTTAAAGTGAGATTTATTTAGTGATTTGTCTGTTAACTAGAGGTATTTCCTATACGTGCCAGCTACAATATACTGGCTTGATTTTAAAAAGTTTAAACAAGTTCAAGATTTGGGGGGGTACTTTTAAACCGAAAATGGATCCTACGTCTCCCCTCCAATTACTATTTGCAATCATTTCACACAAAGCTTGACTTGGCCTGGAAGAGCGGGTCACGTTACGATGCAAGTTTAACTTTCATCATTTAAAAGCAAAACCACAGCCAGTTAAAGACCCATGCGATACACATTCTCTTCAGTCCCTGACTGAACAGCAGCTCTCGCGAAGAGGAGGAAGGAGCTTCCAGCGCCCGCCCCCCAGCGGCCCCCTTCGCGACCCCGCCGCCCGCTCACCTGCACACCCTGCTGCCGTAGGCTCTGCGCGACGTAGTCCAGGCGCCGGCTCACGCTCTTCTTGGCCTCGGCAGCCGCCTCCTTGGTGCTGCTCACTCGCACTACCACTTGCGCCCGGTCGGGGCGCGCGGACGCCATAGCGGTACCGTTTACGTGCACCTCGCGGGGCGCTATCTGGGCCTGTGCCGAGGAGAGGGGCCGACAGGTACCGGGCAGAGTCTCTCCCCTGGAGACCACATCCTTCTCCCGGCCACGATCGGCCCACGGAACAAGTTCCACGAATACCCGCGACGGAGGGGCCTGTGGCAGCGACATAGCGCGGGAGGTTGGGTTTCCATAGCAACTCCGGCTACGGCGGCCGGAGGGTCCCGCAGACGCCCAGGCTTCCTGTGCGCGGCGCAGAGGATGCCGGGATGGAGCTGGAGGCCAGGACCTAATTAATAACGCCAGCTACGCCCTGTGGGGCTCCTGTTGCGTCTTTATGAGGCTCCCGCTGAGTGTGTTGGTATAGTTTTTAACACTTTTACTTCATGGCCCTCTTAGGTCTCTTCGCCCTCGGTGTCTGTACGCTCCATCCTCCCACACACGTCCTGGGCGTTTATCCTCGCCTGCCGCACCCGGAGGAATGGCTGACAGGAAGATGATAGGCTTGCTCGCGTCTGTATCTGGGTCTGATGGCTCTCAGCCTTACCTTCTCTTAATGCGGGTCCCTGTAATTTTACAGTTTAGTTCAGCTACTTTAAAAACTTTTAAATTATTTATTTTTTGATTCACAAGAGAGTTCTATGGAGGTGCACTGCGTTTTGCCCATGCACTCCTGGGCAGTTTGTGAGTCCCCGAATCTCAGTTTCTGCAAAGCGATGTTGATGATAGTTTTAACATTTGCTATGGAGTCGTGAGGTGCCCGTTGAATGTAGAATGTTTGGCAAATGGAAAACAGAAATATAATGGATGCTTAGTTTTGATCATTCTCTGCTAAGACTTTGGAATGATTTTCAAATCTTTCGAATTTTCTGCAGAAGCCTTAGGATGGTTGTGGTCTTGAACTTGGGCAGGAGAGACGCTAGAGGAATCAAAGCGTGTTCAGTGTGGACCTTGCCCCTCACAGACAGCTTAGTTTTTTGTTTACTGTATACCCTTTTCATGGCCCTCCCGCTAGTGGACCTCTTACCATAGGCAGTGATCTTTGTGAAAATAGATCCCTTTTTGGCTCCCTTCTCCTGACTACTGGAATTTTATCAGAGAATTAGTGGTGGTGGTGGGGGGAGAATCTTGAATAACATAGAACCATTATCCTTGAAGGAACTGGAAAAAGCCCAACTAATAATTTTTATAATTTCTATTTCCTCTATCATTTTCCTTTTTTTATTGGTGTGATAATTGAACAATTCAACTAAATCAGATGGTACTCTTTCCATCCTTTTTCAGGTGGCTTACCACCAAGTGAATATAATTTTGTATTTCAGTATTTATTTTGATGTTTATTGTTAGATGAAGGTATACACTATTTTCATTTAAAAACTAACTTTAAAACTTTTTTTCCATTAAAAAAAACAATTTCTAAAAGTTTTGTGTGTCTGTGTGTGTGTGTGTGTGTGTGTGTGTGTGTGCTGGGGATTGAACTCGGGTCCTTGAGTGGCAGGTGTGGGAACCACTGAGCTAAATCCCTGGCCTCTAAAATGTTTCTTAAACTTTGTTCCTTTTTCTGCAATGATAATTGTGGGAGGATATATCCAAAATGTATTAGTGAATGAGGTCTGTTTTTCATTTTTGTTTTTGTTATTTTGTACAGAGATTTAATCTGTGGCCATCCCACTAAGCTGTATCACAACTCCTTTTTAATTTTTAAGAGAGGTTCTCACTAAGTTGCTAAGTTGCCTGGGCTGTGATCCTCCTGCCTCAGCCTCCTAGAATGCTGGAATTATAGGTGGTATGCCAGTGAGTTTTGTAAGCAAAAGGCAATGGAGTGTATTATTGATGTAAAACAATAAAGTACTTTAAAAGGCATACAATAATAGTTTATTATGAGCCAAATATGAATGACCATGGCTTAGGAACATGGATTCAGGTTATTTTGAATGATACCTTTCACCATGGAAGTAGTTACATGAACTTTTATAATCACAGAACAAAAGAAATTTGGAGCTTTTGGTAAGTGGGCTACAGAAAAGTGAGGACATCTCTTATAGGTTTTAAATGTTATCTCCTAGCATTCTTAGCTTTAGGCCTGGTGAAGACTAGAGTTCTGCTAAGCTTAGGGATAGATTTTGAGAAGTTTTACAGTCCTTAGAATGTTGATCAGTTGCCAAAAATAAGGTAATTGTCTATTAAAGATCCCAAAAGGGTTAGGGATGTAACTCAGTGGTAGAGCATTTGCTTACATATGTGAGGCCCTGAGTTAAATCCACAGTACTGATCGGGGAACAAAATCTTGCTGGGTATGGTAGCACATACCTGTAATCCCAGCATTTGGGAGGCTGAAGCAGGAGCATTGCCAAAAGTTTGAGGCCAGCCTGGGCTACATAGTGAGTACAGGACCAGCCTGAACTACACAGTGAGACCCTGTCTCAAAGAAACAACAAACAAAACACAAGATTCTAAGATGGCCAAGATAATTTTGGCTCTCAGTACAGTGTTCTCTCTCTCAGTGATCACGATACTGTAGTCATCCAAGGTCAGTAAGTCTGGAGAATCTTTAACATAGATGTAGTTTCTCAGAGAATTTCAGTTTGAAATATTTAGGTGATAGAATATTCAAATCAGTGGAAAATGATTAAATGGTATGGAGATAATCATTTAGCTATATTGAAAAAATGATTTGTATCTTACATCATACATTGACATTCATTTGCAGCCAAAATGAAAAAAAAATTGGAAACATATATAGCCAAATATAAATACAATTCTGAGAATGGGAAGGCTTTCTTAAGCATAATTTCAAATTTGGCAATCATAAAAGAAAGGTCTGAAAAACTTGACCAGACACACACACAGAATTTAAAGCAAAAGAAAATCTAAATGGATCAAAGGAGGGGGAAATAAATTGGGAAAAGTTTTATAGCATTTTTTAATTGTATTATTACCTTTGTATTATTATTGTATTTATTATGCATGGAGGGTTAAGATGGCCTGTGATTTAGAGCAAGGGTCCTCCACCCTCAGGAATTTGTACTGGTCTGTGGCCTACAATATTAGGAACTAATATTATATTCTTTCAGAGCAGGAAATGAGTGGCTGGTGAGCGATCAGAGTTACATTGCTATTTGTAGCTGTTCCCTATAGCTCACATTACTGCCTGAACTGTTCTTCTTGTGGCCTTGGATTCTCATAGGAGCTTGAACTCTACTGTGAACTGTGCATGCCAGAGATCAAAGTTGCACACTCCTTATGTGAATCTGATGGTGATCTGATGTGGAGCTGAAACAGTGATGCTAGCACTGGGTTGTGGCTGCAAATACAAATTAACATTAATTTGAACAGATGACCACAGTAAGTTAATTGCTTGCAGGTGTATCACAGTCCTATCAGTGTGTGGCAAATGACAAGCTGCATATGGTAGCAGGATTTATAGTGGTTAATTAGTTGATGAACTTCAACTACACAGCTGCATTTGGTGGTAGGCTGTAAGTCAGAATATGACATCTATTTTAGTCTGCGTGTAGCCTGCCTATTATTTTATTTACCACTTCTGTCTCTGAGTTTCTTTTCTGAACTATACACCCAGTCACAGTTTTTGTAACCCCACAAGCTAACTGTAATGAATAAAGAAAAATGTCACTAGGAGTTTCTTTGAAAAGGGGAAAGGTCAACTGATGTGATACGAGCAGACTCTAAGACTGCCAACAAGAAGCTGCATTTAAGAGAAAATACCACAAGTCCTACTTAAATTATGGATTCATGGCAGCAGGTGATTTGCATTATCTAAGCCTACTTTATAAAATGTATGTTGACCAGCCATCCAACAAAGCCATGAAAACTGTAAAACTTCTACAGAGAGACCAAGCCTGTGGAGTTTTTCAAAAGAATATTAAAACAAACAAACAAGTAAACCCATAAACATGAAGAACAGAAGCAAATATTGAAGGCCACCATTTCATCAAGTGTGTGTGCACTGAGACCATGGTTTTTGGTTGTTAAGTGTATACTGGAACCAAGAAGCTCTTTACTATTGGTGAAGAGTTGATCCTGCCTCTAGCTAAAGACATTTGTTGCGTGCTTTTAGGAGAGGCTGCAGTTCAAAAGATGGCTCCTGTTTAGCTAGTACCATAACTAGATGAATTGATGAAATAGTAGAGTATACTAAGGCACAATTGTTAGAGGGAATTACAGAGTCACTGTGATACCCAATCCACACTGATGAATCTATTAGTATTGACAACAGGCTTGATTTTGTTTGACGTATTTTTCAGGAGGATGTGCATGATATGTGCACTTTTATTACCAACCAACTCATAATTGAAGAACTTTTCAAGTCTTTGATTACATTTCAGTAAAACTAAATTGGTTATTTTTGTGTTGGTATATCCATGGATGAAGTGGCTGCCATGCCTGGACAGCTTTCTATTTCACTACTCAGGTTGAAGAGCCTGCTTCTGAACATGAGTCTACGCACTGTGACATCAATACAGAAACGCTGCCTAGCTGAAAATGTCACCTGAACTTAACAATGTTTTGCAGGATGTGATTAAACTTATCGACAACATTGAGGTACATATCCTTTAATTCCCATGTGTTTGTTAAGCTCTGTGAGGAGACAGATGCAGCACATAAATATCTCTAATACACAAAAGTGAGTTGGCTTTCTAAAGGTAGATCACTGGCTAGAGATTTTGAGTTATGAGGTCCACTCCAGAGATTTAGAAGAAAAGACACCACTAGCAGCACATTTCAGTGACGGAATGGGTTGCAAAACTTGCTTACTGAAAGGGAACTGTGACGCTCAACTAGGCCACGCACACCGAGAGGTCCAACTGGAGATTTTTATTTAGGGGAGCGAAGTGGGAGAGAGGGGGCAGAGGAGGCAGGAGGAGGAGAGGTATGAGGAGCTGAAGGACTATTTATGGGTTTATTGGAAAGGGCCTCCCATAGGGGTAGGGCACGCTATCCTTAACCTATCGCAGGCATGTTGTCTTTTAAAATTCGCACCTTGCCGGAACTCTAGGCTGGGGGTTTGGCGTGGTGGCGCGGTTTTTGGGGACAAAGAAACTTCAGACAGGTTTCAGGGGTAGAAGAACCCGGAGGTCCGATTTAAAATGGCGGTGTCGCAAAGTACCTTAACATGATCGATTCTCTAACTCTTACATGTGTGATAGTTCAACTTGCTCAGTGATCTGTCACCTAAGGGCAGAGTGTCAGCTGTGTTCCAGTTGGCAGTTAAAGTGGATATATTCAAAGCCAAGTGAACTATGGAGATGATGAGTAAACATTAGAACACTGGGATTTTTTACATGTTTCAAACAT